AAGGTGATCAGAGGAGTTGAAGGAATCCAGGGTCGGCACTGCTGTGGATAGGAGGGAGGCCTGTGACTCTCCACAGTGTTTGAAGGGATACTGTGGGAATTGGGAACACTGACCTTGGATGGGATTACTGGGTGTAGTTGAGTGTGAGGATGTTAGTTACTGTTGGACTTGCTTTGGGAGCAGAGGGGAGGAAGTGCCAATGCCAGAACTGCTGATGAATGGGGATGCGTGACCCATTCGTGTAGGTATGGCAGTCCCAGAAATGATTTCCTGGGAAAACTGTGGCTTTCCAGGTGCCTCAGCCCCACCCCATGCCACCAGTCCCCCTCCCCTCCAGCCCACTCACTATTGCTGCTGATTGCTCCATTGGCAGCTGGGAAGGCAGCACCTGTTGGGATGTGGAGCCGTGGGGAGCAGCAGATCTGCCCCACCAGGTGCTCCTCTCCTCCTCGGGTGGGTGCAGAGCCTGGCCTGGAACAGACAGCCTCACTGCAGAGAGCCCTTCCCACGCGGCTGGGGCAGGTGGCTTAACCTCTCCGTGCTCGAACTCCTCACCTGTGTACTAGTTGTGGGTGACATGGATGACTACTAGTTCTTGCCACCCTCAGTTGCAGTGAGGACAGAGTGAGCACCTGCTGCTGGTGATCAGTCCCTGAATGTCCACAGTGGTAGACACTGTTGTTGCACTTGTTTGCTTTCTTTTCACTTGCCTTCTCTTCCACAGATGGCACTGGAGTGTTTGCATTTCCTCTGACTCTTGTTTTAAGATAAGACCAAGAGAACTGACATACATTGACCACCTGTTGTGTGCCAGCCACTGCCTAGTCAGTAATCTATCAAGACATCTCAAGGGTTGGTCAGAGTTATCTTCACCCAAGTGCCCCCTTATAGACTCTGGAGCATACGGGCTGCTTCTTGTCATCTCAAGTTTTTAGAGTAGAGAAGCAAGATTCAGAATTAATAACCCAGCTGGCATAGTTCAGCAACTAGATGTCTGTATTGGGCCTGAACACAGCTCGGTCTGAACTCGTACCTATTTCTTTTCTTCCCACCCCATCAGGGTGTGCCAGGCTGTGGGACCCTTGCCTCACACTTTTCCCTGATTCCTTTTTACCGCTCCCCCCACTTTAGTGGGGAAAACATTATGTCACCCAGTATACCCAGAACCCAACTGTTAGGTGGGGCCATATGACAGTAGGACTACTCTTTGAATATTTCCAGCCTATAAAAATGCCTCTCTCAGGCAGGTGTGGTGGTGCATGCCTGTAACCCCAGCACTCAGGAGGCTGAAGCAGGGGGATCTTTATGAGTTCAAGGACGGCCTGAGCTACAAAATGAGCTCAAGGCCTGCCTGAACTGCATAGTGAGACCCTTTCTCAAAAAAACAAAACAAAACAAAAAAGCCTCTGTCATCAGCTTCAAACTGATGCTTCTCTCTGCCTGAGGCCATTATCACTGGATTATTAGCAGGCGTCACCTGATTGCTTTTCCTGTTTTTGTCATGGCCACTCCACTCTTGACACAGCAACTCCCAGAATGAACAGCCCACAAGTAGGTGGAACAGGCCACCCCCACTTTTGGCTACTTTTCAGACTTCCTCCCTCTCATATAAAAAGGTGTTATACCATCTGGATCAATGCTGTGCCCAGTGGAAAGGATTTTCAAGATTTTTTTTTCTTCAACAAAAAGTCATTTAGAGAAGCTGGGCATGGTGGCACATGTTTGTAATCCCAGTCCTTGGGAGGCTGAGGCAGGAGGATCGATGCAAGTTCGGAACCAACCTGGGCTACAAAGTGAGCTCAAGGCCAGCCTGAACTGCATAGTGAGACCCTGTCTCAAAAAGGCAAAAAGAAAAAAAAATTGTTTAGAAAGTGCAGCTAGTCCTAATTGACGGGACTATTTAAGGATAAATTTTAAAATCTCAAGAAAAGTCTGTAAACATCGGATTTGCAGCCTTGGCTTTCTGGCAGTAATTCACAGAGAGGACTCCCCTCTGCAGTCACTGGGTCCTGCTGCTGCTGCTAGTCACACCGGCCCTCATGCCCATCCAAAACCAAGGTGCATTTTGGTGTGGTCATGCTGCAGCAGGTCAGAAAAGAGAGACTCCAAAGCTGAGGTGTAAACTAGCTTTCCCAGCTGCAGGGAGGTCGCGGGGTAGGAAAAATACCACTGTTTTGAACTATGCATAGTTGTAACACTTGTGGTTTTTATCAGTGTTAGCAAACCCACGTATTTATGTTGTTCTGCATTTATAGTTTACAGATTAATTCTTCGACCTTATTTGAAAGTCAAGGACCCAAGAGGTTAAGAACACAAGCTCTGGAGTCTGATTTTTCTGGGTTCAAGTCCCAGGTCTACCTGGTAACTCCCCTGGATCTTGTTTCTTCACCTGTAAAATTCATAGCAGTTTGGCCTCTAAGTCTAGTTCTCTAGCTCCTTGGTTGTTCTTTGCTCTTTGGCGCTTTTAGCTTCTACAAAACTTGGTATTTTGTCCTTGTAGTGTTGGTCATAGTCTTTAAAAGCCACTGCAGCAAGTGGAGCGCTTTTTTCTGGGCTCTTCCCTGTCCCTTAAAACAGAAATTGAAAACTAGAAGCCTCAGAGCCAGGGCAGCCTGCAAATCAGTCTTATTTGAACCAGAATGTTTTTGAAAAATTGAAATTGCTTTGAGTTGCAGTCTGAGCTGTCATATAAACTCTGCATTTTGACTTCTGGAAAAAAATCAGAACAGTGGGTCCCTCTGGGCTCAGGGTCTGTAGAGGGACCAGTACCAGCCAGCTGGAAGAGGAACTGCTCTACCTCTTGCCCTGTTGGATGGGGGAGACCTCCTTGGCCCTAATACCTTAAATCTGCACTGGTTCTCCTTGAGGTTTCCTGCCTGGCCTGCACAGATCTTGGTGTGTAACTTCTGCGTTTGGCTTTGTTACTCTTAGTGCTTTTCGGGGACCATAGGGCCTTCATGGTGATTCACTCATTGACTAATGGTTGGCGCCAGTGGCATTTCAAAACAGAAATTGTTTTAGGCTCAGAAGCCAGCATGGATGCTAAAGACAGCCTGGTTGCTTCAGATGCATTTAACATTTAAACAGTTCTAATTAGGTAATCGTGACTAGAGACTAGAAGGAAACCTTACATATCAACTAGGGCAGCAGTGCCCGCTTCTGTGTCACAGAGTGGAAGAGAATCTTCTCACCCAGCAGAGCCTTGGCGCTATTGGTCTAGGTTTCTGAAAGCTGAAAGAAAGCTTGGCCACCAGCCTTCTGGGGTAGATGCCCTGGGCCACTCTCACAGCCTTGAGAGCCTCTGCTAGGGGAAGTTGGAGCTCCTTCCTTAGAGAATTCTTGTCCATGAAGGGCAGGATCCATGCCACACAGCTCCCTTTAACAGACCCATTGTGTCACAAGTCTTACGGTCCATGAGCATAATGTTTGGTATTAGTCACCTGGGCATTTCTCTTTTGTTTTGTTTTGTTTTTAATGTATACCGTAAAAGGGCATTGAAGACCATCCAGAAGGTTAGAAGGTACTATGTGCAGCAAGTCCAGTTCCTTAGTTTCTGTTACCTAAAGTTCCATCAAGGATAGCATTGTCCAGAAAGGGGAACTAAGCCAGGCATGGTGGCATGCCTGTAATCCCGGCACTTGGAAGGCTGAGGCAAGAGGATCACCATGAGTTTGAGGCCCTCCTGGACTACATAGTGAGACCCTATCTCCAAAAAAAAAAAAAAAGGAAACTAGTAACCTCCAGGACCCAGTCCTGTCCTGGCCTTCCAGAGGTCTGCTGAATGCTAAGCACTTGGAGCTGATTTGACAAAATGTAGAGTCTTTGGACCTAACATGTAGAAATACCTCCTGCTGAGTAAATGTGGGGACGTTCTGTGTATTCAGACACGATGTTGTGTTGTTTCAGTGGCATAAAACTTTGCTCTCCTGGAAATAATACTATCATCTCTGAGACTGTGACTTCTGAATAATGATACTCTTTTCCATAACTTCAACTATGTAGATATTGTAACCTCCATAAGTAAAGATTTTAAATTTTATTTTAACTCACCAGGAGAACAGATATTTGAATGTAACAGTGTGAGTTATTTAATGCCACTGACCTATACACTTAAAAATGGTTAAAGTGGTACACTTTAAGTTTAGGTTACCTCAGTTGTTTTTAAAAATGTTTATTAAATAAAGTATATGCTTATGACTGAAAGTGGGAAAAAGAATGAAAAAGATACCATCCCACTACTTTCAATATTTTGTTATATTTGCTTCAATATTTTCTTGCATTTGTATCCAGTCTTCTGTGCATATTTTTACACAGTTGAGACGTTGCTGTCTTGCCAGGATATTGTGTTAGCTGCCACTAATATTCTTTCTGCTGAGCAGGGAAGTAGGTAGAAAGAACAAGGACTGCAGAACCACAATGGCTGCATTCAAATTCTGGTTCCTCAGTCCTGGATGTACACACACAAATTGCCTACTCTCTCTGCCTTGTTTTTATCATCAAGATCACTGGTTCTCATCCGAGGGAGTTTTACCCGGAGGACACTTGGTAATTTCCGGAGACATTTTTGGTAATGAGCCTGCAGGCAGCAGGGAGGGCTACCGGCATCCAGAGGTGGAGGCCAGAGACACTGCTGAATATACCATGCACAGGACAGCCTCATAATAAAGATTTATCTGTCCCCAGATGTCAGTAGGGCCTAGGTTGAAAACTGTGCTAAATAAGATAGAAGTCATGGTAGTACCCACATCATAGGATTGTTGTGAGCATTAAATGAATTAAAATGTGATTAGAGTAATGCTTAGGACATCGTAACTACAGTACTATGTAAGTGTTAGCTGTTTTTTACTGCTGTTATAATTGTTTCACTTCAAATCAAAATTTTAGTATTTAAAAATCTCATAAACATTCCTTTTAATGGTTTTCAAATGCCTTGTAATAAAGTTTTCTTTTCCATAAATTTTGCATCCTCCTAATAAACTTTTACGTCTTTCCCCCAACAGATGAAATTAAAGCAGAAATAGAAAAGCAGAGGTAAGTAATAGAACTTTCTCCTTGCTGAAATACAGCATGAAGGGGCAGATAGTGGCCATTCCCCAGCACTTTTTTTTTTTTTTTTTTTTTTTGGCAGTGCTGAGAATTAACTTGGGTCCTCTACCATTGACCTACATTCCCAAACACCTACCATCTTTTCATTAATTTTGAGACAGGTCTTGATAAGTTGCCCAGATTGGGCTCAAACTTACAGTCCTTCCTGCCTCAGTGTCCCAAGTAGCTTGTGTTATATGTGCGTGCCACCACACCTCACGTGGCCATCCCTTTCTTGCATTCTGAACATTTTTCTCCTGTTTCTAATCCTCGGGAAAGGTACACACTCTCCCAGCACTGTGTTGGCACACAGCAGAGCACGGCCGGTGTGTCTGAACTAGTGCTGGGTTAATAGGTTACTGCCTCAGTGCTTGCATACTTGGAGGAAAGGTTACAGAAGGTCAAGTTAATGCCATGGTATCCTTTCCTGAGAAAAGAGGCAGAGCCCTTGTCTCTTGGTTGGCATGCTTACTGAAGACAGCTGGCTGTGTAAATGACTGTTGCAGATCTTCATGGTACTAAAGCAAACTAGTGACATTTTAGAGCTATAGTTATAGCATGGCTGCTACTAGGATGCTGTAGATTCGGGTCACTAATCATAGAGGCCTTGCCCTCTCCATGTGACACTTTGATGGTTTCGAAACTTGCATGTGTTCAACTTTTAATTGGCCAGCCCCAAGATAGAGTTTGTAGGAACTTTTAATTAAGTGGTTGCCAGTATAATGGAAAGTTAGAGTAAGGTATGGGGAAAGCAAGCTTAAAACAGCCAAACAAAACAAAAAACCTCTTCTCTGCTCTCTCTTGCTTTCCCTGCTAGGTTGGGCGCTGTGGCACCACCAAAGGCAAACTTCATTGAAGCTGACAAATATTTCCTTCCGTTTGAGCTCGCCTGCCAGTCCAAGTCCCCCCGGGTGGTCAGCACATCCCTCGACTGCTTGCAGGTACCACGTTTAGACTTGATGGGATAAAGGGATTCCCTTCAAGCAACAGGTGCTCCATACATAGAGCCATGCTGGGCATGACCCTGGGCACTCGCATGCCCTTGGAGGTGCAGAAAGGACCAGTTCCGCTTACTCTTTATGGAGATCTCATGGAAGAAGTAAGAGGGTTCCAAGCTGCTTAGCTAAAATGAGAATTTGTTTCCCTAGAAATACTTGGTTGCATGTATGTTTTTCTAGCATTACTTGGAATATTTGATATACATAAGTATATAAGCATACAAAGCACTTTTATATAGCCTTTCTTGGTATTAAGTCATAATATGAAGCATAGGAATATAGTCACATCCATTATTTATAGTTATGTTCTATAATAAAGTCACTGTAAACATGAATTAGTGAATGCTAAAATACGTATGGTTAGATTCCTGTGATTCTGTAGTCACAACATTTCCATTAGCTGATGCGTATATAGCTTTGTACTATGTGTGATTCTTTTTAAAGATACCTTATTTAATATGTGCTGTTGATTCATTAACACTGAACTCTTGGCAGCAGCACTATAACACATATGGGAACAAAGCTTATCTAACACATGTTTCTCCAAAGGCACATCGCCTTCTTGTTCTTAAATACTAGAAAGCAGTTCAGCACACACCTAAGGGCCATTCTGAAAGGCAAAATAGGACAAATATGTGAAAAGCATGGCACTAAATATACTGCAGAAAAAGACACTTGTTGGCACTGGAAAACTGAAACAGAAGGCAGAGTGTTCACGAGCTGGGACAGAGGCATCACATGGTTCAAGTTTTTCACTGCTTGGCACATGTCTGCAAGTCGCTGCAGAAGTTCTGTAAGTGTTGATTTAGTGCTTTCAGATATATTTTAGTGAGTAGCTGCACTTGAAGTATACAGTCTGCAGATGATGAAGATGGACTCTGTAGAACCACGAGTAACTTTATTATCAATGATCTTTTACTGATAAAGAAGCAGGGATAGAAAGGTTAGAGTGACTTGTCCAACAGGTATTGAAAGACAGACACAGAAGTGCAATATGGATTTCTTAATTCTTGGGCCTGCATTCCTGTATTTTCTCAAGACCTACTCCTGAAGCTTCTGATGAAATCAAAGAACTTTTTTGTTTTTTAACCTCAGTGGGCAACCCACATCAATGCAAAACTTATTTATTTTTTGGTACCAGGAATTGAACTCAGGACCTTGCACTTGCCAGGCAGGTACTTGTGTTGCTGCTGAGCAGTATCCCCGGCCCAGCAAAATTTAATATGCATTTTAAATATACTGAAGAGACACAATTTATCATTATTGTGTAATGATACATAATTTATCAAATTGTGTCATTAGACATAATTCATCATTACGTTCTGGAACAGAAAGGGTGAATTGACTCTGATTGCTTAGACTGCTGTGTTGAAAAGATATGTAAAGCCTTATTCGGGTTTCTTGGGAAAGAGAGCTGTTGTCGATTGGTTATGTCTGCCAGGACACAGAACTGAAAAGTGGCAGTGGGCATGCCACATTTTGGGCCTCCCTATTCTAATATTTACTCTATTAACTTCTCTTCTTTGATATTTATAGCTGAGAATTGATGACAATTTTTTCACAGAAGCAGCTCTTCCAAATGAAAAGCCATTTTTCTCATTCAAGATCATTTGTACAGATTGTCCTATGTGAAATATTAAATGAGCCAAGAAACTTAAATGGCAGGCAGAGTCCTACTTCTGTCCTAAAATATTTGATACTGTGAATTTTTTCTGAAGAAATTTGATGTGAGTTTAATTTTAGTTGTTTTCTCCCCATGACAAGGTTTAGTTTGGGAGCTGGTACTAGGTGTTAACATACTGAGAATAACAGCTACTGTATTGAGCTCTCAGCATGTTCTGGGCCTGAAGGCTTTGTCTACATTACCATGTTTAATCTTTTCAATAACCCTCAGACACTTGCTTTCATCCTCATGTTAGAATCGAGGAAATTGAAGCTTAGAGAATAAAGTGAGCAGTCCAGCCTCAGGTCTCCTGGCCAGGAATTGATGAAATTAGGTGGATATCTAGGACTTCTGACCCCACATTTATGTTTTTAACTGAGCGTTATTAGTTATGGCCTGTGAACCAAATATGGCCTGCTGCCTGTTTGGCTGTTTGGTTTTTTTGTACTGGAAATTGAATGCAGGTGTGCTGTACCATTAAGCTACATCCCCAGCCTTTTTTTTAAAATCTTATTTTGAAACACGGTCTCGCTAAGTTGCCCAGAATGGGCTCAAACTTCTAATCCTCCTGCCTTGTCCTCCTGAGTAGCAGGGAATAAAGATGTATGCTACCATACCTAGCTGCTGCCTGCTTTTGTAAATAAAGTTTTATCAAAGCATTGATATCTCAGGTTGGTATTCTATAACAAAATGCTGTAGACTGGGTGGCTTAAATAGCACACATTTATTTCTCAAAGTTCTGGAGGGCTACGTAGTCCAACACTAGGTCCTGATAACTTGCTTCCTAATGAGGATCCTCTTTCTGGCTTACAGACTGCCAAGCTAGCTAGATCTCTTATGAAGCACTAATTCCGTCATGAGGACCCCACCATCGTGATCTTATCTAAGCCTGACTGTCTGAGGTTAGAACTTCAGCCTATGGATTTGGAGACAGAAACACACTTTGAGTTCATAGCAACAGCCATGTCCATTCATTTTCGTCCACTTCTTCCTGCTATGGCCAAGGTGAATGGTTGCAATGGAGACGGCAGGACCCACATAGCCTAAATATTTAGTACTTGGTGTTTTACAGAAAGAAAATGTGGACCCTTGCTCTTAACTATCATTTGTGGTTCTAAAGAGTAGCAGAAATAGTTTATTTCTAGAACTCCATATATATATGATTTATTCTGCTTTATTTCAGCCCATAGGGAGTCTTGGGCTTAAGATGTATGGCCATCTTTCTTTTTAGAATGGAGTTCTCTGGAATTTAATAGGTATATTAGGATTTCTTTGCTTAGTATACAGTTGTAAAATGTGTCATCCTTTTTATGACATTAGAAGGTGGCTGGGTATTCAGGATTACTGAATGAAGAGCTATATTTCCCCTTTCCCCTTGGTGGCTATCTTGCTAATCCTGTTTGACTGGAATTTCCCAGAGTTGAGTGTGGAAATTCTGTCTTGGAAATGGAAGGCCAATGTGTAGGAGTAAAGGCTGGCTTGGGTAGAATTGAAGCTAGCTATAAGACAGGTCCATACTGCGGCTTGTCATTCATTTAGCTTGGAGAGATGATGGGAGCAAAGGTGGTCCAGGGTTTGGTTTGCCCTGAGCCCATTTAGCTCACATTCCCTCTCCCCACTGGAAGAAGTCTGAAGACTCCCCACTGCTGGCTTGTCTAGCAGTGAGGAGTCCCCTGTGTTCCTTTCTTTCAGCTCTTGATCTGTCACACACTTTGCCAGTGCCAGGGTTCGGTAAAAGGGACTGGGGTCAGTCTTGCCTACTTAAAGTCTTGTTGGTCACATATTGATAGTAAGATTTTTTTCATTATCCTAATATATTCATATTTACTCCATTTAAAATTATATACATATATTACTGTTACTAAAGTTCATATATTATAAGCATACAAAAATAAAAGTTTCTTTCTTTTGGTACTGGGAATTGAACCCAGGGCCTTGTGCGTGTTAGGCAAGTGCTTTACCACTGAGCTAAATCCCCAGACCTTTTTATTTTTATTTTTGAGATAGAATCTCACTAAGTTGCCGAGGCTTTCCTCAAATTTGTAATCCTCTGGCCTTAGTCTCCCCAGTAGCTGGGATTACAGGCATGCATTACCACAAAAATAGAACTTTTAAAAGGGCAAGATAAAAATTAGAATCGTTTTCTTTCTACTTCTCAATGAAATGTGTAGGAAACCATTTGTCTGACTGTTCTAAAACCACAAATATTATCTATTGCACTTACTTCTAAAAAGCTTTGTATACATTTAAAGATGAACTTAAATGGTCTGTATTTAAAAAGTGTTTAGAACTTTACATAGAAGACTGAAGTCCCTTGGGCCATGATAAAACCAGCTGCCTATTTAGATTTATAATTTTCTGTTTTCTTTTTACCTTTTTCTGTAAATATTATCTGTACAAATGTTTCTACAGCTTACTTGGGTTTTTTTGTTTTTGTTTTGTTTTTTTGGTACCGAGGATCAAACTCAGGAGTTTGTGCTTGCCAGGCAGGCACTTGTGCCACTGAGCTGTACCCCCAGCCCTACAGCTTTTCGTATTGAACAGTGTTCTCTCGTACAGTGGGTCCACTGAAGGCCTGTTACACTGTTTGGTATTTTCCCATCTTTCTCTCCATGCCAGCACTCGCGTGTGCCAGCCCCCTTAGCCACATGCATCAGGGGCCAGCTGCCCAAAGGCCTCCCTCCTCTGTGCCTCTTCTGACCCCTCAGTTACAGGCGAGGACTGAGGCAAGAACATGCGCAGGGCAGGCAAAAGGGAGGAAGAGATGGGGAATGTGGTGTACAAATCACACCAAGCCAGAAAAGTCCCAGGCAGTTTTAGCTTTGATTCTTCCACCCCTAAAAATATAAACTATGAGAAACAAGATCAGTCTGTCATGCTGCCATGGTAGCCACAGTGTCTGGGGTGTGCGGCACAGAGAAGGATGAGAAAGTGGAGCCTGAAAGACCCACAGGCTGCCAGAGCTCTGCTTTTTCTTTGGTCCTGTCTCACTGTACAGACAGGAGGTAAAATCATACTGAAAACCCCTTTCAGGTTAAAGGGTAATGTGTAAATTCCTTTAAGGAATCCAATGTCCAGTAACTCATCTCCATTTCTGCTTTGCAGCCTCAGTATTGGGTTGTATGATAACTTCTTTCCTTTTCTCTCTCTCTCTCTGTGTCTCTCTCTCTTGGTGTGTGTGCTGAGAATCAAGCCCAAGGCCTTGTGTATGGTGAGGGGCCCCGCATTCTAGCATTCTCATTTAGGAGCTGGTAGACCATCCCACTCACATTGCAGTGCCCACCCCAGATCAGCGCTCATTAGGAGTAGGAGTAACAATGTCAAAACCAAAGCTTGCCTACCATGTAGCAGCCCTGCCCTGTAGGAGCCTGTGCATTAGTGGCAGGGGGGGTGGTGCTGAGGTAAAAGGCTCTGGACTTGTCCCTCACACTCCACACCCTTGCCTGGGGGTCCTGCTGGTGGGCCTTGGGCAGCACAGTGCACTGGCGTCACTCCTGCTCCTTCAGTCATTCGAACCAGCAGTGTCCTGTTTCTACTCTCAGCCATTCTCTCCATTTGTTTTTCTGGTTGGTTTGTTTTTTTTTAGTTTTTTTGAATGGTGGTGCTTTGTAGCTAATGATGGGGGAAAGTCATTGAGAATTGGTATCAGAATTCTACATAGTGGCCTGTCTTCCTGCCAGGATGGTGTAGGTAATCTCAGGAGCTCTCATCTCCTTTGTGTAGGTGGAGGCAAAGATGTGACAATTAGAAGCCTGAAAGGGCAAAGAAGGGAATAGCATTTTTTTGTTTTGTTTTGTTTTTGTTTTGTTTTTCTCTGGTACCGGGAATTGAACTCACGACCTTGCGTTTGCCAGGCAGGCGCTGTGCCACTGAGCTAAATCCCCAGCCCCTGGAATAGCATTTTTAAGAATCTTCACCAGCTCACTAAAAGCAGTACTTCAGAAGTCAGGTGACCTTTATCTGGTCGGCTGTCAGAATAACCCGAATAGTTTGGGGAATAACACGGATTTCCAGGCTCTGCCCCCCAGATTTCTGGTTCAGGAGGTATGGGTCAAAGTTCAAGAATTTGTATTTTTAACGAGCTCCCTCGGGTGATTCTGATCTCATCCCAGGTTTAGAAATTATCCTGACCTCTGAGGTTCCTTGGCTTTTAGATTTTCCATGCTGAAGTCAAAGTAATGAGTGGGGTATCTAAGCTGATTTGTAACCAGACCGAGGGACATGGCCAAGCAGCTGAATCTGTCCAGCCACAGGTGGCACACATTGTTTGATAATGCAGATGTGGAATGCAGTTACTGCCTTTACTTTAACTTTTGGAGTGGAAAATACACAGACATAATTCAGCATTCCAAAAGAATGGAAAGTAGAAAGTGCCTTAGTCCTATCCTTGCTGTGGCTACCTCTCTTCCTCTCAAGTAGAATGTGTTATCTTTAATTTCTTACTCCCTTTGTCCCTCTAGCCACCCTCTCACTGCCCTCTAGGTAACCACTGATCTTCTGTCTTTAGTATGATTGTTAGTGCCCAATAAATTGTGTGCTGGGAGTGTTCTGTGCCTTGCTATTGCTGTCGGACACCATGTCACCATTGCTGGGATCTTCTACTACCAGGAGATAGGAGCTAGCTGCACACAGAGTGGTTGTGCCTGCCTGGCTCCTGGGAGCAGATGCATCTCGAGGAACTGGAAAGTAAAGGCCATACTCACTGCCAGCCTTCATGGGTGGCCTCAGTACCAGCCAGGCAAAAACTACTAATCTCTCTTCTTCTGTTTAGAAACTCATAGCATATGGACACATCACAGGCAACGCCCCCGACAGCGGAGCGCCAGGGAAGCGACTGATCGACAGGATTGTGGAAACCATTTGCAATTGTTTTCAGGGCCCACAGACAGATGAAGGGGTTCAGTTACAAATTATTAAGGTATTTCTGTTGGTTTGCCTAATCTGGGTTTTAAATTTGGAAAGCAAGCCCCCTTTGAGAATTTGAGCTTCAAACATACCATGTGTTAGTTGTCTCAGGTGGTACTGTGCTGGAACAGAAAAATTTAAGCATCACTTAGATCTTTTGTTAAGTGTCAGAATTTATTACCATGTCCTGAGACAAGAAGAGTAGAACCAAGTGTGTTTTCACAGTAAGCAGTTCCACTGATCACATTGTAAATCAGCTCAAAATCCTCTGGTCTTTGCTCTTGGAAAATCTGGATTCCCAGCCTGTCATTTCTCAGCAGGTCTTTGATAATCTTATCACCAGCTTGCTCCACGCCTGTGTCCCCCACTCTGCTTCCCTGTGCCACATCAGCTGCCAGGAATGGATTGGCATGAGATGGGGCCATCTGCTTGTCGGGACCAGGAGCAGGATAGGTGTAGCCAATCCTCCAAATTTTTGGTCCTGAGTACTTTAGTTCTGTGAGGATTGGCTCTGTGTCAGCTATACCTCTCTCAAAGGCCCATTGAAACCCACCAAGGAACTGACAGACTGGCTACCCATTGAAACGTGTATTTTGTGGTTCATGTGGGTGAGATCAAGTGGAAGTGTTTTTTTCATCCTGAGAGAAGTGTCTGTAATTTTCATTGTAGGTTTTTCAGTCAACATTAACATTCACAAGTTTGGCTTTTTAAAAAGTGTGTTAGTCAAAACCCTACTTTGATGCAGTATAATTACTTCAATAATTTGTATATCAGGGAGTTAGTAATGGCTTTTAAATTCAGAAGTTGGTGCTTAGTGCTGATCATCCAGTTTAGTTTGCAGAGCCATCTTTGAATTTATAAAGAATAAAAACAAAGCCCACTCCTAGAAAAGTTTGGCTGGGGAGGAGCAGGAAGAAGGTGAGTGTTCATGAAGGTGACGATTCTGACCTGTGTTTAGGCTCTTCTGACTGCAGTGACTTCCCCACACATTGAAATTCACGAGGGCACTATCCTGCAGACAGTGAGGACATGTTACAATATCTACTTGGCCAGCAAAAACCTCATCAATCAGACTACCGCCAAGGCCACACTCACTCAGATGCTGAACGTCATCTTCACCCGCATGGAAAACCAAGTGGTGAGTGGCGTCCCTCCCACCCATGGGGGCACACGTCATTGCCTCCGAACTTTCTCTTGTGGGCCTCAGTGCATGTGCAGGGTCACAGGCACTTTAAAGTTTTAATTATTTTGCTCTTAAATTTTCTGTACTGTGCATTTCTTCTCATTTTAAAATTGGAGAGAGAATCTTGTATGGGGGTTTTGAAGTTAGTGTTTAGAATTTGCTTTGATTTATTTCCTTTAAAAATTTTGTCTCGCTGGTTGGAAATTTTTTAAGCAACAGGCTGGTGTAATTTCTGTTCCATACCAAGATGCTAAGTCTCAGCCCCATTTAGATCACATCTTTTTCTGTTGTCTTTTAGTTGCAGGAGGCCAGAGAATTGGAAAAGCCAATCCAGTCAAAACCCCAGTCCCCTGTGATTCAAACTGCAGCAGTGTCTTCAAAGTTCAGTCGTTTGAAACAGAGCCAGGCACAGAGCAAACCAACAACTCCAGAAAAAACAGATCTACCCAATGGTGAACATGCCAGCAGCGATCCTGGGAAAGTGAGCTCAGAAAATGGAGATGTACCCAGAGAAAGAGGCCCATCACTCTCAGGTATGGTGAAGCCTTGCAGGGCTGAGGGCATCATCTCGTCACTGAGGGGCACATGAAAAAGGTGTCTGGTAACATCTGAGGGAAACCTGTGAGGGCAGCTGCTCTATTAATGGGTCTTCCCCTTGACTTCCCCATTGCTTTTCTCTTATGGAACATAGCCAGTGAAGCGTGATGTGTAATGTCCCGCTGCCAGCTGTGCCGTCTTCTCAAAATAGTTCCTGGACTGCATCTGGCTGCCACTGCTGCATGTGAGCTCAGTGCCGTGGCTCAGTTTGGGCACCTATCTCTATGGCAAGTTAATTGGGTGATGAGCCATTCAATGCCTGTCGTCTCTGTCCAGAAGAGGGTGAAGGCCTCGTTTCTCCTATACAGACTGGGTCTCTGTGCCTTGCCCAGGGCCTGGCAGTTAGAAGCCACTCATAGGCCTCAGTGGAGGAGTCAGAATGCTGGATGGGAGGATGGACAGGTGGCTTTGTTTCCTTCTGCTCACCAGGTGTATCACTTGGTTTTGCTTGCTTTTTAAAACAAAATATTCAAGACCTAGTTAAAGTAAATGAATCTAAAGCATGAAGTCTTAGAGAAGAGGGTTATCCTGAGACTACTTCTAAATATTTGCATCTCCTCCTGCATATAGTGTATGAACCAGATTAAAAAATTTTCTTTTAGGCTGGGCATAGTGCTACGCGCCTATAATCCCAGCATGGAGAGGCTGAGCAAGAGGATCACTGTGAGTTCAAAGCTGGCTTGGGCTACATAGTGGGTTTAAGACGCTGTCTCAAAAACCAAAAAAAAAAGAAAACAAATTTCTTTCAGGAATTTGCCTTTCCCAGATAATTCTGTTAAGTAACTCTTCACTCAGGCTGGTTGTTCTGCACGGAATATCTGCCCGCTCTGTAATTCATCTCATTCCTTCTTCGGTCACACAGCTGGTGATAATTTCTGTTGACAGAGTCTTCCCTCCTAGAGTGCACATATTTGAGCAGCTTTTTATTCCTTTATGATTTGCCAGAGTGGTTGGCATGCAGTGGCACTGCAGTGGAGTAAGTGTTGTTGGAATGCTCTGTCTCCGTTTCCTCAAGGAAAGCACAGAAGAGGAAGTTACCGCCGAGAACTGCATGTGTTTCAGGGCGAGCAGAGTGGCCTTCTGCTCACTCCTGCTGCTGTGTGTCTTAAGAAAGGTCTCAGAAATTTCCCGCCATCTGCTATGTGTGTTGTTGCTTTTGCCTTCGTGACCCTTAGGGCAAGGACCAGGTTTTCACTCTAACCCCTATCAAGTTGTGGTCAATCAATAAGTATTAATATTTAAACACTGCATAAGTATAGCCATGCAGATAGAAAAGCACTTCTCTCTGAGCTTCATGAAAAGTGCTTCCTCTGTGACCCATTTTCTCTACGGAAGCCAGAGTGATCTCTTAAAAGCATGAATACCTGACCCCCTCCTGTTCAAACCCCTTTGGTAATTGCTGCATCCTATCCCTTCCAGAGTACAATTCATGCTTGCCTTGCTCCCGTGCTTTGCAGAGCTCCATGTGGCTGGGCCCTGCCTACTTTTCTGCCCCGTTTTTATTATTCTTACGTGTTGCACAGTGCCATGAGCATTGTTTCTGCTTATTGAAGGTACCATGCTTGTCCTGCCTCTGTGCCTTTGCACTTACCATCCATTCCTTATTTCCATCCTCCCCCCACCATCTTGGTTCTCTCTTGGTTCAGAGTGAGAGAGACTTCCCTGATGACCCATCATACCTGTCTTATTGTCTTCTCTTATTTTCTTCATAGAATGTATGAGTGCCTGAAATTACCAAAGTGTTTGTACTTACTTGTTCTCACTTAGAGACCTAGGCTATTGTGTTCACCTCTGTATTCCCAACACTGGAACAGGGTCTGGCACAAATAGCAGATTCTCAGTGAATACATTTTTGAATGAACTAGAACAAACATTACTTTTAGAATTTAGTTTTGTGGTAACACAGTGACTTGGGAAGTGACGCTTCCACCAAGAGAGAACGATGTATAGTTAGATGTTGGTACAGATTTGGTTGCCAGTGTCTGGTGCACCCTGTGAGGCTTTGTCCAGGAACATGGGAACAGGTTGCCTCTGAGAGTGAGACCATAAACCTACAAACCACGAGTCAGAACAGAGGTGCTCTTTTTTTTTTTTTCCTGGTACCAGGAACTGAACTCACGACCTTGCGCTTGCCAGGCAGGTGCTGTGCCGCTGAGCTAAATCCCCAGCCCCAGAGGTGCTCTTTCTAAGAACAACAAATGGCTTTCAGTTCTCAAGATTTACCTTGAGGGGCTGGGGATTTAGGCAGCTTAGCAGCACAGTGCCTGCCTGGCAAGCGCAAGGTCGTGAGTTCGGTTCCTGGTACCGGAAAAAAACAAAACAAACACAAACAAACAAAAAAAAGCAAACCAATCAAGATTTACCTCGAAAAAACAGGTCCTAAAGGAAGAGGGAGTTGAGCGTCCAAAGAAAAAGGGCCACCGAAGAGACAGGTGGTAGGAGTAGCACCAGGCCCTGTGAAAGGCCCAGACTTTAGTGCCCCTGTGACAGAGCTGCACACATGCAGCTTTCCTACAGAGGGTCCTGTAAGGTCACTGTTATTTAGACTGTATAGATAATGATTAACACCGCACCCAGAGAAGCCTCTTCTAAGATCTGCTCAAGGCTGTCGCAGGGAAAGCATCAGGTTGCTGAGACCTGCTGCTTGGGCTTTTCCTCAGTAGCATCCTCTGTAGAACTCTCTGTCAGAAGCAGGGCTCCTTGACTCTTCCTTCCAGACTGAATATAGGTGTTCCTATTATTGTGGGGGCTGGGCTTCAGCACTCCCTGAAGATGCCAGAATCCACTGGTCAGGTCCCAGATACAAAATTTCAGTATTTGCATAGAACCTACACACATCTCCTTGTATACTTTGTGTATTTAAGTTATATGGAAAAGAGGTTTATTTTGGTTCACTGTCCTGGTCCAAGATCCAGGGGCAACATCTGGTGATGGTGTTCTTGCTGATCGAATCCTAGGGTGGCACAGGGCATCACTTGACAACAATCAGGAGCATACACTTTTGTACTTTAAATCATCTCTAGGTTATTTACAATGCCTAATACAGTACAGTGTAGATGCTTTGTAGAAACTATAGTTGTTATGCTGTGTTGTTTCAGGAATAATGACAAGAATGAAAGTCTGTACATGTTCAGTACAGATGTATTTTTTTCCTGAATATTTTGCATTTGCAATTAGTTCAATCTGTGGACACAGAGAGCCAGTGGGTATACACATTTGCGTGAGTATACAGCCCATTAGGAAAAGGAGTTGTATACTCTAATCCCTCCAAAAAAGAGTGATTCCGCTGCTGCTTAGATGGAGAAACTGCTCTAAGGAAAGGGGAACATCCCTGTTGAAGTGGAAATTTAATTTTTCTTCTAGGAATGAACACTAGTGAAAGCTTTTAACTAATTGCAACTACTTTCAGTATTGTCACTTGGAAATTTTCAGCATGTACTTCGTCTCCAGGGCCAGGCAGGTGACAGAAATGAGCAATCTGTCATCATGAGGGATCGTGAATGTCCTCACACAAATGCACTCTACAGTTGACACATAAAGCACCCCAGCCTCATGAAAGTCAACGTGGGGATTTTCTTTGCAGGGACCATTGGAAATGCTGTATTCATGTTGTCTTATTTCTCAAAGACTATTCTTACTGGCCAGGGAATTGCGTCTTCGGAGGTTGAGTCACTCCCCACACCGAGATGTGGCTAAACAGGGACCTGAACCAGGCATGCTGGCTCCAGGGCACTGAGTCTTAATCATCATGCTGAGTTCACCTCCATGAGGGAACATTTGCTCTAATGTTCTTGAAGCACCTGCTCAGTCTTTCACCTTTCCCACTCTTGGCAGGCGTGCTACTTTCTTACTCACCGTATCGAAATCCCAGTCCACATGTGGTGGTGACTGGCATTGGGCTCCTTGGAAGGGACAGTGCAGAGTGGGGAGGGTGAGCAATGGGATCTGCAGAGCTTAGGCCTGGCCTAAGGCTTAGCTCCCGCCAGCTGTAGCCCAGTGTTGCCACATTGTCGAGTTTTTAAATAGAAGCCAGATCTGGTTTTTTTAATGACTAGTTTCTTAGTTTATAAATGTTGGCAGCTAATTCCAAAATTTTAAAAAATAAAATCTATGCTGAAGGACACATACCTGTGGGCCAGATGTACCCACCAGCAAACTAACTTACAGAGCCTCTGATAAAATGAGTGGGTGTTTTGGGTGTTGGGTGTTGAATATGAACAAGGTACTTTGTGACAGATGGTATACATTAGAGCCTGCCACCATAATTTTATTAAATCATAATGTCAGAGAATGTTGGAACTTAGAAACATCTGCCACATCATGGTGTAAGTGAGATGATTTTAGGTAGTTCATAGGTGGGTGGTTATTTTAATAGTTACACATTTATATTAATATGCACTTATAAAATATAATTAGTACATCAAAACTTAACTGTCTGAATTTCATTACTTAAAATAAGTTAGTAAAAAATTTTAAAAGGACCAGGGATGTTGAGTGTGAAGTACCTGGGATCAGGCCCCAGTACCCCCACACACACACTTGCGCACACAAATGAGTTAAAGAGTACTATTAGATAGAAGGCAGAATTAAAAAGGTTACTTTGCTTTTGTTTAAGGTGATGGCCTTTTTAGTTAGTGTGGTGTTTTATAAACCAGTAATATTTACTAGTAAAGTCTAGTCAAATGCTGCTTCCTTCATAAACTGCTTTCCAGGACTTATTTTCTTTCAAAAAGAGAGAGAGGGAAAGCTGCTGGCCCTCTTCCACTTAAGTAGTTACCGTTTTGCAGAATAATTGTGTTTAAAGTTTTGTAAATCCTAAATTATCTCATTAGAAATTCTTGCTAAATCCTGGGTTAACAGGGAGAATGGAGCAGCAGGCTCTGCAGTGAGGATCTCAAGGCAAAGGCACAAGAGAAAGCCTCATCTTTTGTTTGCCAGGACTTGTGGCTGGGTAAGGTCCAACTCTGCGCCCAAGTTTGTGTGCAGAGGTGCAGGGCTGAGCAGCTGGGACTTAGGAAGGAAGAAAACAGGTGGAAGTTTTAGTTCCATGAAGCAGGACTTAGAGCAGATGCTGCATAAGGATTTCCGAAATCCAGGGGGCTGTCTCCACTGGCACAGTGGAATTTGGCCTTGGGGAGAACTTACTTGTACCCTTTGCCTTCTGAAAGGTGACTAGAGGAACACTGATGTAATTTTCTTCTCCCCCTTTCTTTTCCCTGGAAATGCTACATGTGTGTTTGGGTGTATGCAGGGTCTGATGATGGCGCCCAGGAAGTGGTGAAGGACATTCTAGAAGATGTGGTCACATCTGCTGTTAAAGGTAAGAGTCAAGGACAAGACAGCTTTCACTGGGCCTCATTCCTCCAAAAAGCCCTCAGGCCAGTTGTTTAGAGGTGGAGTTTCCTCTTCCCAATCTAATGATTAAGTCACAAAGCTCATGGAAACTGAGTCTGCTACCACCCTGCCCTTCTTTCCCATGGATCTCAAAAGTGGCCTGGTCTTAGTGGTGGCTTTATTCTTATTTGGGTTGAGTTCATGGAACATAGTCTGACCGAGGTAGGGTTGGGTACTCCTCCTGGGGACATGGAGGCCACTCTATATCCCTTTTGTCAGAGGCGTCCAGGTTTCTGGGAGTCGGTTGTAGTCATGAGGTCCGTGTTTATCCCTGCTGAATTTTCACAGCTATCGAGGCGTCAAGGAGACATTCCACATATCCACAGGTGTCAGGTATAGAGGGAAGCTCTATTCATATTGTTAAACTTCATTCAGACTCCTTCAGTTTCATGGGATGGTTTCTGTAGTGTGACACCTGTATAGCCCAGAATGACTGTTAGGTGGTTTTATTCTTTGTTTTTCTTCCAAATTGCAGGTCAGTGTCCCTAGGGTTATTTGTTTTTATACCGGGAATCAAACTCAGGACCTTGCGCTTTCCAGGCAGGCGCTTACACCACCGAGCTATATTCCTGGCCCAGGTCAATGGCTTTGTGTTGAACCCATGATTCCACTGCTGGTAGAGTGGTTTAGTCAGGGTTTGTTTGTTTTTAAAAAAAAAAAACACAAAAGAGAATAAAATGAACCTGGAATACTGGTACATACCTCCTGTAATCCTAGCACTTGAGTGGCTGAGGCAGGAAGATTACCCTAAGTTTAAGGGCAGTCTGGCCTACATAGTGAGCTCAAGGCCAACCTGAACTATGTAATGAGACCTTGTCTCAAAAAACAAGAACAAAAAGAAAGAGTAAAATGAAATAGAATACAAATGATCTGACTATATCACATGTAGTAATGTTAAGAATTATTTCATGCTGAGTGTGCTGGCACACACCTGTAATTCCAGCACTAAGAGAAGGAGGCACCAGGAAGAGTACAAGTTCATGTTCTGCCTGGGTAACCTAGCAAGACCCTGTCTCAAAATAAAAAAATCAAAAGAACTGGGGATATAGCTTGGTGGTAGAGCGTTTCTGGGCTCAATCTTCGTTACCACACTAAAACTTTTTTTTTTAATTTCATGAAACATGTTTCTATACTAGGACATGATTGTAAATATTATTTTTTTACTGAGGTCATGATCTTTTTTTTCCCCTGTGTCAGACGGAACCCAGAGCTTGCCCATGCTAACAAGCACTTTACCACTGAACTACAGCCCCAGCCCTGGGTCATGATGTAAAACCCGTTTTTAAAAATTCTATCTTTTTGCTAAATTAGGCTACCACAAAGCTGTAAGTTACATTATGTAGAAATGTCTTTAAAAGAGCATAGTTGGGAGACTGAGGCAGGAGTATTACCACAAGTTCGAGGGCAGCTGGGCTACATAGTGAGTTCAAGGCCCACCTGAATTATAGAGCGAGACCCTGTCTCAAAACACCAAAAAATTGGGAGGCTAAAGCAGGAGGGTCTTTTTGTGTTCAAGGCCATCTTGGGCTACAAAGTGAGTTGAAGACCAGCCTGAACTTCGTAGTGAGACTCTGTCCCCCTGCCCCCCACAAAAAAAAAACACCCAAAAAAGGCATAATTTTATTCTTTGCATAATCTCATTTTATATGACTAGATTTGTCTCTGGAGTCTGGATTTATCACATAATCAGTGTTTGTCTGCCTTGATCATTGCTATATATTCCAACCTATACCACACCCAGTCACATAACAGGCACTTGATAAAATATTTGTTGAATGAATGTCTGCTTTATTGAATTGTTTAGTGTCCCTTAATAGATGTAAAGAGCCACATGATAAATTCCTCTTAGAGTTTCATTTTTCTGCTAAGCATCAGATATTCTTTCTTTCATTAAATGATGAAATCTTTTTAATTCTTCCTTTTTTCACATGGCTGCCAGGAAGCTCAGGTCTGTTTTTCTCTGTAATTAAGGTTTTCAGTCCTAACTGGCTCTTCTCTAATTCCTATGTCACTGATGGTGAACCTTTTAGAGACCAAGTGTCCAAACTACAACCCAGAACCCATTACTTACTTCAAAGTGCCAACTCTGCCGTGAAACCTGAATACTGAGCGGGGCATGGTGGCACACGCCTATAATCCCAGCACTCGGGAGGCTGAGGCAGGAGGACTACTGCGAGTTCAAGGCCAATCTGGGCTACATAGGGAGTTCAGGACCAGCCTATATACATAGTGAGAGCCTGTCTCAAAAACCAAAGGAAAAAAAAAAAAAGAAACCTGAAATTTTAGTTTAGAAAAAACAATTTACATATTAACATCTTTTGTCTTAAAAGTAAAACAACTTGTGTGCCATCAGTTCACCACCACTGACTTACATTAATAGTCCTTTAGAAAAATCTTTCCTCTTCATATTTAACGGCTTGTAATCTTTCCAGAAGTGGGCAGGGGTGGGCAGGCTGCCACATTATGCCGTTCTGGAGGCACCATCGACATGGATTCAACATGCCCAAACCCCCTGAAGTGACTCGTGCATTGCCACTTAAGCACCTCCTCGGCCCAGCTTTATACTCCTGGGCTAGAGGGAGGGAAAGGGGAAGAGCGGCAGTGGGGGGCTGTGTGAATAACTGCTTCCTGGTGTCAGGAATCCTTTGGGGATACATACGGATTTGGCAATGACTTTTGCACTTGTGTTTTCAGAAGCAGCAGGAAAGCATGGTTTGACAGAACCTAACAGGCTCCTAGGTGGACTAGAGTACCAAGAATGTGCTGTTCCCCCAGGAGTTGATGAAAACTCACAGACCAATGGCATAGCGGATGATAGGCAGTCCTTGTCCTCCGCAGATAATCTGGTACGTCGGCAGTCATCCTACTTAGATGCATCTTCATTTTTTTTTTTTAGAACATGCAGAATTAAATCTCTATTAAATGAAGTGAGTACCTGGGCATGATAAGGTTTGCCCGTAATTCCATCTGCTTGGGAGGCTGAGGCAGAAGGATCACAAGTTTGAGACCAGCCTAGGCAGCTTAGAGAGACCCTGACTCCCAAGTAAGAAATAAAAATAGGCTGGGGATATAGCTAGTATTTGAACATCTCTGGGTTTAATCCCAGTGTCTGTCTGTCTGTCTCTCTGTGTCTCTTTGTCTCTCACATACACACACAAACACGCAAAGAAAGGTAGATAAAATAAGCAAGCCCTGTTTGGTTATTAGTCACATGATCCTGGTCTAGTAGTCTTTGTATTTTTCTATTAGCAGATTTAGTTCTTGGAGCATGCTAGTGTTAGTTGTATATGACACTGTTGTTAAACCTTTTTATGTGAACCTTTAAAAACTTAGTTTCCTGCCATTTTTTTCTCTCTCAAAATAAAATGAAATTATTATATAAAAATAAAATATAGAAAAGGAAAAATAGTTTCCTTCTCTGTATTGGAAAGTCAGTATTATGAATAAGTCATCATTTTATATCCTTCTAGACTTTTCTTCCTCTTCATATTTTTTCCTTCCTAAGCAGTATCACAGAATATACATGCTATGTTGTAACCTGCTTCTTCTTTTTTTCTGTTTTGTTGTGTGTGGTTTTTTTTTGGTGCTAGGGATTGAGTCTAGGCCTCACTGATGTTAAGCATGTGATCTATCATGAGCTATAGCCCCAGTCTATACCCTACTAAAAACTTAACATAAGCTAGTCATGATGGTACTAACCTATAATCCCAGCACTTGAGGAGGCTGAGGCAGGAGGATTGCCTCCCAGCTGAGCAATTTAATGACTTAGTGAGACTTTGTTTCAAAATAAAAAAGGAGGGCTGGGGATTTAGCTCAGCGGCAAAAAGCGCCTGCCTGGCAAGCGCAAGGTCGTGAGTTCGGTTCCCGGTACCGGAGAAAAACCAAAAAAAAAAAACAAACAAACAAAATAAAAAAGGACTGGAGATTTAACTTGGTGTGAAAGCCCCTGAGTTCAGTCCTCAGCACTGAAGAACAGTATCAAAAATAAAAAAACTTAATATATATTATTAACATCCTTTCAGGCCCATAGACAGGTCTACTGCATTATTTTTTAAATAGCTTTATTGTTCCTTTGAAAATTGTATATATAAATACTCAAAGCAGGAAATAATATAACATGATCCCAATTTGTATATCTTCAACCAGTGTTTTTCAACTGTACTCATTATCACATGCTTCCCATCCCCAGGAATCTTTTTTAGACCTTTTCTTTCTCCTACACCCTATTCCCTCCATGAAGTTTCAGTGTAGTTGATAAACTGGATACCTGTATACTGTATATGCATCTGTGCATAAGAATTTTTCACCCTCCAAGAACCAGTTTTTATCCCCTTGGGGTTTTATCATCCCCACAAATGTACTAAAAGGGCATGCTTCAATCCATATAAGGAACTCGTGTCTAATATACTAGGCTGTGACTTGCTTTGTTCATGTAAAACTGTATCATAGATTCTTTCTATATCAATACAAACCGATCTAACATTTTTCCCCAAGAGGCCGAGAAGCGAGGGATCTAACAAATTTTTAATGATCACATGAAATTCTATATTACCATAATCTATTTAGCCAGTTCCCTATTAGGTTGTAGATTATTTCACTTTTACCATAGGACAGTTTAGGTAAATGTTGCATACATCTTTAATTCTTTTCTTTTCCTTCCCCCCTTTTTTTTTTTTGGTACTGGAAATCAAACTCCATGACCTTACACCTGTCACTGAGCTATACCCTCAACCCCTGTAATTCTTTTTTTGGGTTAGGTTCTGTAAGTGGTAATCACTGGAGATCAAGAGTTGGAAACCTTTGGGCTTGGGGCGTAGCTCAGAGATGGAGTACTTGTAGCATGCGAAGTGCCCTAGGTCTAATCCCCAGGATGCCTCCCCGCAAAAAAGAGTTGGAAATTTTAATACTTTTGATCCTAACCACCAAATTGATCCTCCAGGAAAGTATTATTCAAATCCTACTGCCCACTCTTAGGTTGTCAATGCCATTTTCTCATTCCTTCATTAGCAGCATTCATTTACATCTTTGTGGATCTGATGAGAGAAAGCTCTTGCCGTTATGATCAGTCATAGGACTGTTTAGATTTATTTGTCCTTTACATTTTTTGGTGAATTACTTCATTCATGCGTTTCATTTTGGAGGAGGGTTTCCATATTTCCTTAATGAATTCTAAAAACTTATATATGTAAAAGCTGTTCATCTTTATTATACTTCATAAATATTTCCTTTTTGTGTGTAGGGGGAATTCCAACCCAGGACCTTGTGCATGCAGAGCAAGAGCTCTTCCACTGAGCCACCCCCCCAGCTCCTATTTACTTTTTTTGTTTTTTTTGGTTTTTTTTTTTGTTTTTGTTTTTTCTCCAGTACCGGGAACCGAACTCACGACCTTGCGCTTGCCAGGCAGGCGCTTTGCAGCTGAGCTAAATCACCAGCCCCTTATTTACTTATTTTTAATGTAGTTTACTTTTTTAGATAAAGAAATTTATTTTAAAATGCCTATCATTTTCCCCCTTTATCTTCCAATAGTATTCTTAGAAATACAGTTCTGATGCAAGTTAATACAATTGCCTGTCATTTTTATTTTTATTATTGAACTTTTGATCATCTGTCATTTTAAACCATCCATACTACCTTTTGAAGAACAAGCACAAGGTTTAGAATTTCTTTAATGACTCCCCAGTTGCAACTCTTATGCTAGTGATCCCCTTCCATATATTCTCTCTGCCTCCCTATTGAACAAACATAAGAACTTAGCCAGGCATGGTGGCCCACACCTGTACTCCCAGCACTCGGGAGGCTGAGGCAGGAGGATTGTTGTGAGTTTGAAGCCAGCCTGGGCTACAAAGTGAGCTCAAGTCCAGCCTGAACTGCATAGTGAAACCTTCCCAAAAAGACCACCAAAAAAAAAAAAAAAAAAAAAAAAAAAAAAAAAAAAATATATATATATATATATATATATATATATATATATATATGAACTTAAATTTCTGCCAGATAATTACATTTTCCTATTTTTGAAAACAGTTATCCTTCTGTTTTGCCGTTTTGGTATTTCTTTTGTTTCTGATCGTAGGAATCTGATGCTCAAGGACATCAAGTGGCCGCTAGATTCTCCCACATTCTACAGAAGGATGCCTTCCTGGTGTTTCGCTCCCTGTGCAAGCTGTCCATGAAGCCCCTTGGGGAAGGTCCCCCAGATCCAAAGTAAGGACTAAGCATTCTTCAAGCTAGTGACAGTGGAGCATAGAATTCTCTGTTTATCTTCTAGTTTGTGCAAGTCCCGGTGCCAGAACCCCGTGTAGACGTGGGATGGTTTTGCAACTTTCCAGACTCATGCATTCTCTACTGTATTTCATATTGAATTGTCTGTGTCCACGAACTAGTTTCATTTTTCTTTGTTTATATATTAAAAACAATCAATATATTGGACATGTACCCCTTTTGTGCTAATTAATGGATTTACTCTCTCAAAGGAGAATATGGAAGGATGGGATGCCTGCAGTCTCAGTTCCCAGCCCTGCTTGGAAACCTCAGCTTTGTGGTTGAAGATTTATGCCAGGGAGGGCAAACATTTCTCTGTAGTGAACAAGCCAGCTCAAGGGTGTTAGGACTATGGAGTGTGGGAAACAGGCTTTAGAGCCAGGAGAGCTGCATTCAGATCTTTGCTTCTTGAGAGCAGCTCCATGGCTGTACGAGTGATTAAACCTCAGCTAAAAAATGGAAACATGAAAAAAAAAAATGGAAACATGGAAAATCACAGGATTAATTAAATGAAATGAGACAGGTATTGTCCAGAGCACAGGGCTATGTACTATATAAAGTCACTATCATTAGTCACTAATAATCTTCAACTTTTCTATTGAGATGCTAGAATTATAATAGCCATTAGGAAGGTGGTTTGTGAAAATGTTTCATTTCTTACCACTCTTGAACTCAGGTGGATAGGGAAGGAGGGTTGTGAGGCTGGTGGATAAAAAGCACTGCCCTTGTGGTGATGAAGAGTGGGACAGAGATCTCTACCTCACACAGATGCTCAGTAATTGTCCACATCAGTTCAGCCTTGTAGCTGGCTCTTCGGACTCAGTTGGTACTTGCTTTGCCCTCTGCATTCATGTGTTTGTTTGCTTGTTTGTTTAGGCAATGTCTCACTATGTAGTTCATCTTGGCCTTGAACTCACTGTGAATCCCAGGCTGCCCTTGAACTCATGGTGTGATCCTCCTGCCTCAGCCTCCTGAGTGGTGGGGTGACGGGTTGTGCCACCACACCCAGCCTCTTCTGCATTCTTTGTGTGGGAAGAGGCAAGAGCATAGTACTTGGCTTATTCTCAGAGGGCCTACAGGCTGGCCTCATTCTCCCAGCATTTAGGTTCTGTTGCCCTCACTGGACTCAGAAGAATCTGCTCACAGTAGAGGAGCAAAGCCTTCTCAAGAAATATACTGTTAGCCAGGTGTAGCAGTACATGCCTGTAATCCCAGCATTCTGGGAGGCTGAGGCAAGAGGATCACACATTTGAGCCCAGCCTGAGCAGTTTAGTGACTTAGTAAGATCCTGTCTCCAAATAAGAAATAACAGGAACCAGGAATGTAGCTTACTGAGAAAGTCCTGAGTTCCGTCCTCATTACCACAGAAAAGAAAAGAAAGATACTGTTGTACATTTTCTCTTCTAGCACTGTCATTTTTCATTTCCTTGCCAGATCCCATGAGCTGCGTTCCAAGGTGGTCTCCCTGCAGTTGCTCCTCTCCGTGTTACAGAATGCGGGCCCAGTCTTCAGGACTCATGAGATGTTCATCAATGCAATCAAGCAATATCTCTGTGTGGCCTTGTCCAAAAACGGCGTCTCTTCAGTGCCTGATGTCTTTGAGCTCTCTCTTGCTATTTTCCTTACTCTTCTTTCAAACTTTAAAATGCACTTGAAAATGCAGATAGAGGTACGGACTCTGAGTTTTTTGTTTTGTTTTTATTTGGTGATGTTCCTGCCAAATTAGAAACTCCTGATGGTGTAGTTACCAGAGCTGCAGTCACGCAGCCTGCTTATTGGCACCCCAGAGAGGAATCTTTATATAAGTGAAGAAATACTACCTTGTTAATGTTCTGCCTTGCGTTCTCACCAAGGGCTTAAAGTGCATGCTCTACATGCTTAGCTCAGCCTCCAAACATGTCTGTCTGGTCCATAAACTCTTTGAATAATTTGAATTAGTTGCCAGATGGAGAAGTTATATTTTACATGAAAATCCAAGTTTCTGGTTTCTTACAAAAAATTATGGCACATGAGTCCTGCATTTGGCACCTGGCAGCCCTGCTAACAGTCCCCAGCAGGCCAGGGCTCATCAGCAGTGACTGTGCTTCACTCTTTTCTTCTACCCAGGCTGCCTCCCTCATTGTAGGATCTGCTCAGCCAGTAATGACTTGGGAGTTTTGAGTCCTAGGCGAAACTGCTAATTGATGACATCTTTTGTCTTCATGTCATATAGGTCTTTTTCAAAGAGATTTTCCTGAACATTTTAGAAACATCCACAAGTTCTTTTGAGCACAGGTGGATGGTCATTCAGACGCTGACGAGGATCTGTGCCGGTATGTTCACCTGAGGTTGCTCATCTCTTGGTCTTACCCCAAAATACTTGCCACATTTTCATCTCCCAAAGCCAGACAAAAACTTTTAACTCCTTTTTTAGAGGGTTATTGAAGTGTTGGGGAAATTGTTCTCTAAAAGGCTTGTTTGGGTGCTCACTTCAGCAGCACATATACTAACAGTCTTATTCTAACTTGGTGAAGAGTCCTACCTTACCTCCCCTCTTTTAGAGGATGACCAACAGAGACCAGTTGGCCGTTGGCCTTTCTAGTGTTAGCACTAGAAGCCCCATGACACAGAAACCCCTTAATCCTGTGAACTAGGACACTTAGTTGTCTTGTCTGCAAGCTGAGCACTGTTGGTTAATCACAGGATCTAAGATACTGATGCTGCCAGTCCTTGACTGAGTGATTTACAAGGTAAATTGGACTTGACTTTACACCATATTATTATGTGGCTTCAAACTAAACATCGCACTTCTCTGTCATCAGACAAAATAGCATTAAGAGTGGCACAGTTTTAGGAGGTGAATTAGTGCCTCCTCACTCCTATTTGTTTGTTTTCTGTGATGCTGGGATTAAACCTACAGCCCTGTGTGTGATAGGCAAGCACTCTTTCACCAAGCTACATCCCTAGTCCTGTTACCCCATTTTTGATGAGGAAATGCAACCTTAAAGAGACGGAATGAACTGCCTGAGGTTTTAGTTAGTGTAGAGGCAGGCCTAAAACAGCACACATGCACACAGACACACACACACAATACCTGTGACATGCATTCATGCGTTTCCTGAGTAAGGCATGGCCACCTGAATTAGAAATTAAATGGGACATTTTTTGACAAAGGAATCCTGTTTACCAGAAAAACTGCTATTTGTCTTTGATCTCAGTTTCTAATGTATGTATGTTATTTTCCCAGATGCCCAGTGTGTTGTGGATATTTATGTCAATTACGACTGTGATTTAAATGCTGCTAACATTTTCGAGCGCCTAGTAAATGATTTATCCAAAATCGCTCAGGGAAGAAGTGGACATGAGCTGGGAATGACACCCCTGCAGGTAAAAATAAAATTATATTTAAAACTCGTTCATTTACTGAGTTCCACCCACCTGCCAGGCACTGCACTCGGTGTTGGGTGTACAACAGTGAACAAAACACAAATAGTTCACAACTGTGCACACAACTGCCATGATGAAATGACAACAAAGCAGTAAGTTCGTTGAGTGCTGAAAAGAATGAAGGAAGGGTGACAGAGACTAATTGGAGATGGGGGTGTTATAATCCTGGGGTCACCACGTGGTGGCCCTGAGAACGTGACATTGGAGCAGAGGTACATGGGAAGCAAATAGATTTTTCAGTCACCTTCCAGAGTGAGAAACACTATAGGCAGAGGAGATTGCCCAGTAGTAGAGTACCTTGTTTTCACAGTGCCTGCAGGGACAGGAGGATCTGAAAGTCTCTGATGAAGAGGGCAGGGGCTCTGTAAGCCTCCTGGAATTACATGTAGAATTTTGTTTGTTGTTTTTTGGGGGTTTTTTTGTGTGTGTGTGGTACCGGGGATCGAACTCACGACCTTGCGCTTGCCAAGCAGGCGCTTATGCCACTGAGCTATATCCCCAGCCCACATGTAGAGTTTTGGCTTATGAGCTTTTTTCCTAGAAGCAGGTCATAGTTGTCATTAAATTCACAAAATGATCTGTGCTTCCCAAAATGTTTGAATCTGAGATATATACATTTTATAAGATTACCTACAACTTGTATTCATTTTTTTAAAGTTATTATTTATAAAAGCAGTATTTTTTTTAACCTACAGGGTGAACCTCTAAATGGAAAGCATTTGTGGGTGTTTAGGGGATAATTTCTGTCTAGAATCATCCACTTGTCACATTCAAGGTCACAGGTTAAGACCTTATATTTAAAGTTCCAAGGATTTTTGTTGTTCTAATGAAAATTTTCATGTAAAAACCTACGTAACATTGCTGATTTTAGGAAAGCACATATCTCACATTTTTTGTGGCTGGGATGTTTGTAATGAAGACCTTTAGAGATGTCCAGGGTTTTTAATGTATCCTTGATACTTAGGCCACCTGTTAACTTTTCCTTGCATTTCATCCTTAATAGAATTTCAGGGATTATTTGATATCTGTGCAGGGTTCCCTAAGTACTCCATATCTGCCTTTTCTTAATTCGTCTGTGAAGTCTCTGTGCTATGTCACTTTTGTCCTTCAGGAGCTCAGTCTGAGGAAGAAAGGCCTGGAGTGCCTCGTGTCCATTCTCAAGTGCATGGTGGAATGGAGCAAGGACCTGTATGTGAATCCGAACCACCAGACCAGCCTCGGTGAGAGGGCACTGCTGCCACCCCTCTGCTACTCAGCGCGGGCTGCTCACCACAGTCAGGGAAAGTTGTCTTGCAATTGAGCAAAACATTTTAGTTTGCTAAATACCACATCTTTTTGGTTTGTTTTTCTTTTTTGAGACAGGGTCTCGCTAATAGTTTGGGCTGGCCTTGAACTCAGTATGTAGCCCAGGCTGGCCTCAAACTCATGCGGATCCTCCTGCCTCAGCCTCCCAAGTGCTGGGATTACAGGTGTGCACCATCACACCCAGCCAATACCACAGTATTTTTAAGGTTCTGCTGTTTAATCTATCTGGAATGTTGGGGAGAGTAGAATGAAGCTATTGTTACGACACTTCTAGTAATCTGTCCCTCCCTCACTGATTGAAGCATCAGCTTTGTGATACTCTAAGTTCTATGCATGTAAGTCTCTTGCTGGATTTTTCCATTCTGTTCTACTGACTTGTCTGTTCTTGCACAAATACCACACATGTGAAATCATTAGGATTATTTGGATATCTAGTAGGGCAAGTCCTTAAGTGTTTTGATAGTTTTTGCACTTTTCACTCTTTCATGGGAATTTTAGAATTAGATCATCAAGTTCAATGGAAAAATAAGTTTCTAAATGATGCTAAAAAAGCCAGGCATAGTGGCGCATGCCTGTAGTCCCAGCACTGAGACAGGAGGATCATTGCAAGTGTGAGACCAGCCTGGGCTACAAAGTGAGCTCAAGGCCAGCCTGAACTGCATAGTGAGACCCTGTCTCAAAAGGACAAAAACAAAACAAAACTAAATGATGCTAAAGTTTCATGCTTATGATTGTCACAGTCCAAACGTGTTGCCTTTATAGGTCTGAGAAAGAGAAGCATGAGGCCAGAGCTTGCATAGCCTTGTCTGTGTCCATCTGCTTATTTAGTTCCCATAATTTTTATGTCGCTGCAGGTCAGGAGAGGCTCATGGATCAGGAAATGGGGGATGGGAAAGGCCTTGACATGGCACGACGGAGCAGCGTGACGTCCATGGAGTCAACAGTGTCCTCGGGGACCCAGACAGCCATTCAGGACGATCCGGAGCAGTTTGAGGTCATCAAACAGCAGAAGGAGATCATCGAGCATGGCATTGAGCTGTGAGTTGGCTGCCATGCTAGTAGGGTCTCTTGGAGCTCTTAAAGAGACTTGTCTCCAAGAGCCTGGCGCTGGCATCTGCAGGAACAGATTCCAGCGTTTGTAACTGATTCTGGTTGAGCCAGGCAGAGGGGAAGTGTCTGAGCATGCATATGAGAAAGAGAAAACCTTAATACCTGTATGTGATCTATGGAGCCTTTTTTTCCTTTTCTGGTAACAAAAATTAAACCAATATAGAAAATACTAAAAATTAAAAAGCAAACGTGTAAAACTCATAAAATTACTGCCTTTTGAAATCGTAATTGATGACATTTTTCCCATCTGTATATTACGCAAATTTTCAACATACAGAAGAATTAATATTTACCATGTTCATTATATTTTTCTAAACCATTTGTTAGGCAAACGTGATAACCACTACACCACGGAAACCGTTTCCTAAACCATTTGTAATTTTTTTTTTGGTACCAGAAATTGAACTCAGGACCTCGCGTTTGCCAGGCAGGCACTGCACTGCTGAGCTATATTCCTGGCCAAACCATTTGTAATTTGTAACAACAACACTTTAGCCTATATCTTTAAAACATAAAGGTATTTCCCCATGTCGCTATAGCATTATGTCATAATCAGTGGTGGTTTTTGTGTTTCTTTCCAGTTAGGAGATTGTGTGTGTGTGCTGAAGTGTGTAAGAAACTGACCTCTGTGTCTTTCATGGCCCTTGCCAGTTGTGTGTCTACATGACTATCACTCTGCGTGCAGGGCTTATTAAAAAATTGAATGTACTGTGTGTGTTAGTGAGCTTGCCTTCCTTTCACAGGACATATGAAATAATGGTACTCTCACTGCGTGTTTCTGAAGTAAAAGAAATCCAAAATGGACACTCTGAACCTGTTAGGGTGAACCATATGGACATCCTTGGTGTCCCAGCCTCCTTTTGTCTGTCTGCCTCATCACCGTCAGGATGTAATTTTCATCTCCAGGGTTGCCTGTTGCTTTAGGATGACCCACACATGTATTCTAATAAGAAAGAAAGGGAAGGGCAAAAAGAGTGTACCTCCTCTCGGAGTCAGCTTTGTTTAAGGGTACCTCCTGGAAATGCCCATACCACTTTTGCTCTCATCTCACTGGCTTGAACTTTATCAGATGGATGTGTGTTATTTAAGGGAACGGGAAATGTAGTTTTTATTCCAGTTGGTGGTGTGCGCCCAACTCGACACCCAGGCTTCTGTCATTGTAGAAGGGGAGAGTGTAAATGAGTACCAGCCAGCAGGGTCTGCCATAGGTGGGTCAGAAATTGAATTGGGGAAAGCTACCAGGACCTTGCTAGCTTACATGCAGTGGTTTGTTCATGGTGTGGCTTTGTGGCTTGCCTCAGATACCAGCTTTTTCTATGCTCCAGACTTTGAAGTAAGCAGCCTGTATGTCATCTCTTCTTGAAACAGCTTCAATAAGAAACCCAAGCGGGGGATCCAGTTTCTCCAGGAGCAGGGCATGCTGGGAACATCAGTTGAAGACATCGCACAGTTCCTGCACCAGGAGGAGCGCCTGGATTCTGTAAGCACTTGCACGTGAGCTCTGTTAGGTGGCTCCGAGCCCTCACAGGCTTGCGTCTCAAGACTGGCTGACCCTAAGTGCAGTACAGGTCCTGCCCCTGGTTGCAGAGCCCTGTGTATTTGCTGGCTGGTATTGCAATGTGTTCTTTGATGAGGGTAAACCAGAGCTGCATGTGGGACAGCACAGTGTCAGTCAGAGTTGGCAGTGTCCCTTCCTTGACTGGTAGAAACTGTTCTGACTGTCCCAGCAACTAGCACCACCCCTGGAGTGTGCCTCTTTGCCCCCTTCACTTTGAGCCTCTTGTGCTCCTCTTTCTCCTTCTCTGGCAAGACTGGAATGGGTGCAGGGGGGCAGCTCAGGGCTCTGCCTGGCTTTCCTAGCAGCCCAGCTGGTGTGGGCATGTAGAACCGGGATTCCAACGCCCCCCTCCCTAGGGTGTTTTTCACTGTAGGTTCATATGGGGCGGCTTCTAGATGTGAGTGAGTATGTGTTTCAGACCCAGGTAGGCGATTTCCTGGGAGACAGCACGAGGTTCAACAAGGAGGTGATGTATGCCTATGTGGACCAACTGGACTTCTGTGAAAAGGAATTTGTGTCAGCCCTGCGAGCATTCCTGGAAGGTTTCCGCCTCCCCGGGGAAGCCCAGAAGATTGACCGTTTAATGGAGAAGTTTGCCGCAAGATACATAGAGTGCAACCAAGGGTACACACCATACTTACCTCCTGCATCTTGTTGCCTGCTTTAGACTAGTAATTGTGATTTGGTTATGATTTGAGTTTAATCTTCTGAATCTGTGCCACGTAGCTACAGTTCCCATTCACTTTGCACCAGGCTCTGGGCTAAGGGATTATCTCACATAAGACCACACATGCTTATTTGTGTTCCCATTCCATGGAAAAGGAGATTGAGCACCAGAGAGATTAAATAACTTGCTCAAGATTGCATGACTAAAACTGGTGCTATTAACTGCTCCAAGAGTAGTTGTGTAAATTGGGAGGAGGCGATTTGGTACCTCTTCCCTAATCAGAAACAGCTCCCTGATTTAATATACAAAGTAGATCTCAAGGAGTTTGCCTTGTGTTTGATTACATACTGATGAAAGGTTATAGAAATGGCTAAGGAACTTAAAACACCAAAGTACATAATTTTTATTTTGGTTTCTTTTTTGTTGGATGGCTTGTGTTTTTGTAACAGTTGGAAATAGAAAATGAGCTTTGTGTTAGCTGTCCCATGAATTTGCATGCATTTCTTCTAATCAGTGGTGAGCTAAGAAGTGATTCCCTGCTTTCTATATGAGAAGACCAAGGTTCTGGAAGCCTGAGCAGCCTGTGTCCAAAATCAGTCAGCTGGTGCACAGCAGTGCCAGGATTGAGCATGGACTTACCGGACACAGAAGCTTGGCTGTGAAATTATAAATGTCTGAATATTCAGTCCACGTGATTGGAAATTGTTCAGTGGAAACATTTTCATAACAGTTTCACCTCTCAAGTCAATTTCATTTTCGTATTAATTGGTCCAGTACTCAAGAGTGTGTGGCCAGTGGTCCCTCAGAGATAGTGTAGTTGGCAAAGGCAGCATCTGTTCATTTTAACCGAATGGGCATCGGGCTTCACTATGAAGACCTAATTAGATATTGTGCCTTTAAACATGCCCTGTATGAGCCCAGAGATCTTGGTCTATTTTCTGAAGCAAGTATGTGCCCCAGTTAAAACTTCCTATTAGAATGTAGATCTTTCACTGTATTGCTCAAGATTTTTTCTTTTGTTATAGGACAGAGCAGTTTTTCAAGCTTCAGCCTCACATGCTTCACCAATGTATCAGTGTTTAGAACAATCTAAACATTTTCCCTTGTATTGCTACTGGTAAATACATTAGACAGCATGTACCATAAATAACTAAGAACTAAACAGCAGTCGTGGGAAGCTTCGTCTGCACCTAGCACAGTGCCTGGCACAGAGCAGATGCTGTCGTTTGGAGCCACATGAGGGTCTCAGCCAAGTGGGCAGAGGCTTTGCTCTCAGAGTCTGCACAGAGCTGTGTGTGTGTCCGAGAATGAGGATCTCCAGCGTCTTAATGTTCAGTTGCCTCACCTAGTCTTGACCTAGGATGATCTTCAAGGATCTTTTAATTAAAATTAACTTGAAACTGCTTTATTCAAAAAAGCTAAATCTATCTGGGCATGGTGGTGCACACCTGTAATCCCACCACTTGGGAGGCTGAGGCAAGAGGATCACTGTGAGTTTGATGCCAGCCTGGGCTATCAGTGAGTTCAAGGCCAGCCTGGACTGCATAGTGAAACCCTGTCACAAAAAGACAAAAAAAAAAAAAAAAAAATCAAGCTAGAATCCAACATTCTTAATTACCCTTTTCTGTATCCTGGGTTATCAGTTACTGCTCAGCTATGAAAGCATGAAAACTCTTGACTAATTTGGCGTCGCTTGGAGCAGTCGACCTACTTTTATAGTGAAGTAGATTTCTATCAGCATTGTGCTTTCTGCACCTCCCTCACCATGAACATTCTTTCTGTCTGCAATTTTTTCTTCCAGGCAAACTCTGTTTGCTAGTGCTGACACTGCATATGTCCTGGCATATTCCATCATTATGCTCACTACAGACTTGCACAGTCCTCAGGTAAAATATTTCAGTGATTCATAGGCTGTATCAGTGGCTTTATTTGGGCAATTGGATATTTTTTAAAAGGTTTCAATTTTTAAAATTTTAGGTAAAAAATAAAATGACAAAAGAGCAGTATATTAAAATGAATCGGGGAATCAATGATAGTAAAGATCTACCAGAGGAATATCTCTCCAGCATCTACGAAGAGATAGAAGGCAAGAAGATTGCAATGAAAGAAACAAAAGAGCATACGATTGCCACCAAATCTACTAAGCAGAGTAAGGTCTAATGCAAATTACCTTAACTTTTTAAAATTCTAACTTTTGACTATATTAGAATGCATGATTAAGTATGCTGGTGATAAATTTAGTTTGCTCTCTCAATATCTGAATATGAAATGTGATTAACTTAATTATTATGATTATGTCAGTGCTTTCATAATAACACTATCTTGCTAGGTTTGACCAGGAACAAGAGGCTAATTAAAATAAGTCATCTGAGAGCTAAATTACCTCACCTAAAAAATGTTCCTTAAAACTTTGCTTTAATTTTCGTGGTGATTGTGCCAACCTTGATTAGAAGCCTATTAATTAGGGCCCCTGTGGAGCCAAAGTTTTTTCTTTGTGAGGCAGTGAGATGCAGAGGTTTAGAGCTCAGGCTCTAGAGCTACAGTGCCCTCAATCAAGTCCCAGCTTTCTAGCTGTGTGACCCTGAGCATGTCACATAACCTCTCTGCCTCACTTTCCCTCTCTTACAGTGGTAGTATTTGTAACAGGCTCATGAGATTGTTGCGGGGAGATCTGTGAGGTAATCCTCAGAAGCCTTTTGAAGTAGTTCCTAGTATGTGATGGTCTCTTGGTGAGTGCTGCTGCTGTTCACGCTCTTGCTCCTTCATAGGTGTGGCTAGTGAAAAGCAGCGGCGGCTACTGTACAATTTGGAGATGGAGCAGATGGCTAAAACAGCCAAAGCGCTGATGGAGGCTGTGAGCCATGCCAAAGCACCCTTTACGAGCGCCACTCACTTGGACCACGTCCGGCCAATGTTCAAAGTGAGTATCCTGCGCAGTTAGCATGTGGCTAGGCCCAATTCTGGAGATGGCTGGCCAGAGTTGCCTGGAGAGGTCCCAGTGGTAGAGACTGAGGAGAGGCCAGTCTGGGTGCTTCTGTCTGAATTGTGACTGGAGCAAATCCTTTCCTCGAGTCCTTTGGTGATGCTGGGAAGTGCCAGTGTGTCTGGGCTGTCATCGTGGCTTTGCCACGTTGTATCGTTGTGGCCTTGGTCAGATTAGTCACACTCTCTGTTCATCATCTGTAAAATGAGAACAAATACAAAGTTGCTGTGAGGGCTGCAGAGTGGGAGTGGGATTGAATGAATTATTCAGGCAAAAGATAAAAGAGCAGTTTGTTGGGACTTTTTTACCTCAGTGGCCTCAGGGTTACTTTATCAGGTGAAATTAGGTAGAAAAAGACAGTGACTAAAGACTGTTATTTTTGAAATGTCTTTTACGCTGTCCAGAAAAGGTACATGTTCTCAGCTGGGTGTTGTGGCACACATCTATAATCCCAACACTCAAGAGGCTGAGGCAGGATTGCCGCTGCAAGTTCAAGGCCAGCCTGAACTACATAGTGAGATCCTGTCTGAAAAACCAGAAAAGATACATGTTCTCTATGCATAGCATATTATTTTGCTTGAAGGTGTTTTTGTAGTAACTGTCAGTATCCTACTAGGTAGTCAATTCTAGACTTTCATGACATTATTTTTGGGGCGGGTACTAGGAATTGAACTCAGGACCTCACACTTGCCAGGCAGGCACTGCACCACTGAGCTAAATCCCCAATCTCTCATAACTTATTATTTCGTAAGAAGGTTGGAAGAAAAGTTACGGCTAGATGAGTTGAATTAGCTTTTCAGTAAACTAAGTTTATAGATTATAGGTCATATACAGGTTTTATTTTGCATGCTGACTTTTGATTGGTAACGGCTGACTGGTATGCTATATAAAAAGGGATTCTCAAGCCCCACAGATTCAGCAGGAAAGGGTTCATGTTTGATTGGTTACTGAAGTCTGCCATGAGCACAGGTGTGTGTAGGGGCGGTGCACTAGCCACGACTGCCCAGCCTTCCTTTTGAGCTGTATGTTTAGTAAATAGCACATCTGTAGTGATAGCTTTTTGTTCTTTGAAAATTTTACCACTTCAAATTTATTTACTTCACCTCTTCATTTACTGCACTTTCTCAGATCTACTACTGCTTAGATCTAATTCTTTGGGGGTTATGTACCCTTCCCCTCCTCCCCTCCTTGTAGTGATAGCTTTAGCCATAATTTTGGAGGAGAATAAATTTGTGTTTTGTGAGTAGAATAAATTAAAATTAAAATAGCAGTGGCCTTGGCATCCTGACATCTCCCCCTAACTCACAGTGTGTCCTCTGAGTGCTCTTTTCATGCTGAAATTCTGGATGTTACTGAAACCTGACTTCTTTGGTAGTTGGTGTGGACACCACTGCTGGCAGCCTATAGCATCGGACTGCAGAACTGTGATGACACTGAAGTGGCGTCCCTGTGTTTGGAAGGCATCCGATGTGCCATCCGAATCGCCTGCATCTTTGGAATGCAGGTGAGTGTACGTGAGCAGGACTCCAGAGGTCTGGAGGGGATGTGTGCTCTTAGACTTGGCAAAATTAAGAAAACAAGAGGTCAGCTGGTTAACCAAGAATGTCAGCAAATGATTTTCTCATTCCCCCAAGAAGAAATACATCACTACGTGATTTATAATATATCCATTTTTATTACAATTTCTCTTATTTCTCATTCTCTGGGAAAACACATAGTTGAATCCAAAATTAATGTATCTCCAAGTAGTTGTTGAATCTTTAAAAAAATTAAAATTAAAAAAATTCAACAAGTAAATGAAATTAATTCTCAAACTGTTCTTAGTCAGAAGGTTGTTGTCCATTCTGTGCATTACTTTCTAAATCAGTAAGAATTTGCATCTATTTATTTTGAAAACCCCAGTCCTTGTTCTTGTTTCCCTTACAGTTAGACATTTTCTTTTGTACCCGAGCCACAGGCTTTGAAGTCAAATAATTATGGTTTCAAACTCAGGTCTACTGCTTATCTAGCCATATGGCATTGACCCAGCTAACTTCCCTCCAACACACTGTTTATTTCCTCATATATAAACTTGAGAAAATAGAATTGTTGCAGATACTAAAATTTATATGACAGTCTTGGTCCTCAATATAGATTGGGACGCGGAACAGGTAAAAGTTACTGAGGTCGGTTGGAAGGAGAGTCTAGTTCTCAGATGTGTGGTGGTGCACAGTTAGCCTCATCTGGTGTTCTAGTAGCAGGAGGAGAAAGAGGAGAAATTATAATAAAAGTGGATATATTATAAATCACACAGCTATGTGTTTCTTCTCAGAGGGAATGAGGAAATCATTTGCTGACACTCTTGATTAGGATGGAGTAACTGGCATGCCGGTGTGCAGAAGGCCTACTGTGTGCATATAGAAATACCAAATAAGCTAGGCACAGTGGCACATGTCAGTAATCCCAGCTACTTGGGAGGCTGAGACAAGAGGATTGTAAGTTTGAGGCCAGTCTGGGCAACTTAGTGAGACCTGTCTCAAAAAATAAAAAGAGTTGGGCTCAGTGGACGAGTGGCCCTAGGTTCAATTTCTGATACTGCACAACACCAAAACCACAGCTGAGCCCAGTGTGTCAGCCCCGCAGATGGGGATATGGCCGCATGGGTGGAATCTCAGTATTCTCCCTGGGTTTCTGTTTCAGCTGGAACGAGATGCCTATGTTCAGGCCCTTGCTCGCTTCTCCCTCCTGACAGCCAGCTCCAGTATCACGGAAATGAAGCAGAAGAACATTGATACCATAAAGACGCTTATTACTGTGGCTCACACCGATGGCAACTATCTTGGGAACTCCTGGCACGAGGTGTGTGTCTCTTCGCCTTTTTCCACTGTGATGACTCCCGGCCTTTTAGTCAGGGCTACTTTCCTGACCAGTTCCATTTGTTTTGACATGCAGCCTGACTTTACCTTATGAATCTGAAAGTTGGCCGTGTAGACAGTTTGTGCCTTCTTGACACTTACAGCAAAGAACACATCAACACATGTGTAATGTAATGCCCAAAAAGTGGTAATGGCTAAGGAAGAACATGTGACTAGGGTGGCTCTGGGAACAGTGATCGGGAGTCAGGGAAGCTCTCGGGGCACACACGTCTGATCTGGGAATTGATGGAGTGAGCTGGGGAAGCGGCTTTCCAGGCACAGGGAACGGCAGGTGCCGAAGCCCAGGGGCAGGGCCAGAGGTGGCAGGTTAAGGGAGTAACGCGGAAGCCAGTGCAGCCGGTGTGTTGTGTCTTCGGGCAGAGTGGACAGGAGGGTGAGGGGAGAGGGCAAGTCAGACTGCACAGCTTGAGCAGCACGGTGGGTAAAATCTAACTGAATACTTTTTCTCTCTTACAAATGAGCACTAGGTCTGCATAAGTATCTGTATGGTGTAATACCCCACTGTGCCAACTTTCCTTTTGCTTATTGTCCTTTCCTTTTTAATGATTATACAAAGAAAGCAGTGTTCAAAATTTGGTCTTCAAGACCCACACCTGGCGGGTTGTGTAGCCAGGACTCTTGGAACTGGTTGGCCACTCATTCTCTCCTCTAGGGAAGCCATCCTAAGACCATCAGATTTTCATCTCCCCATGGAAAGCTCCTTTCAAAGAGGACTGACCTCAGGTTGCAAGTGCCCTTTTCCAGCTGTAAAATGGGAATTCATTTCTTTCTGCCTTCTTTTCTTTAGATCTTGAAATGCATCAGCCAGCTGGAACTCGCTCAGTTGATAGGAACTGGGGTGAAGACGCGCTACCTATCTGGGTCTGGCCGTGAAAGGGAAGGGAGCCTGAAGGGTTACACACTGGCAGGAGAAGAGTTCATGGGCCTGGGCCTCGGTAAGACACCCAGTGCCATCCCTGGCCATCACTGATTCATCTGTTCACTGGAATGAAACCCTCTTATCCCATGGGGACTGCCCCATAAATCGTTTCTTCCTTGTGCCAGTTGACAGGGTATTTATGAATGCAAGTGGATGTGCTGCTTCGGCTCTTGTAATTGTGATGAAACTGTTGAGCAAAGCATGTTTTACAAAACCAACAAAATGCATTACTATGCCTTTATCCTGTAACCTTCTGGGACCGGGGAGATCATTTGCTTTAAAAATGCAGGGGCTGGGGATTTAGCTCAGCAGCACAGCGCCTGCCTGGCAAGCGCAACGTTGTGAGTTTGATTCCTGGTACCGGAAAAAACCAAAACCAAAACACAAAACAAAACAAAAAATGCTACCACTCTGAGGCACGGTGGCGTGGTGATGCACACCTGTAATCCCAGCACTTGGGAGGCTGAGGCAGGAAGATCATTGTGAGTTCGAGACCAGCCTGGGCTACAAAGTGAGCTCAAGTTCAGCTTGAATTGCACAGCAAAACCTTGTCTCAAAAAGACAAAAAAAAAAAAAAAAAAAAATGCTATCACTCCAGTGCCTGGCACAAGTGGTGTATGTCTGTGTCTCTAGACCTTAAAATGTAGATTCCACATCTCTTCATTGGGGGCTTTTACTAAATAGTAGTTACTTCTGGCTGTACAGCAGGTTGACAAGCTCTTGTCAGTGATGTATGGAATAATAGCAGTCAGGAGGGTGAGAGCAAATGTGCCCAGCTCCCCGCTGAGCACTCAGTCAGTGTGTTTTAACTCATTTAGTCTTTGTAACAATCCAGCTTATAGGGCAGTGGTGGTGAACCTATGGCACGCATGTTATTTGTTTTTCTTTTAAGACAAAAGATGTTAATGTATGAGTTCTTTTTTTCTAAACTAAAACCTCAGTATTTGGGTTTAAGTGCAGGGTTGGCACTTTGCAATAAATAAGAGAGTTTTGGGTTGCGAGTTGGGCACTCATTCTAATAGGTTCACCACCACTGGTATAGGGCAGTGGGGGCAAATCTATGGCATGCATGCTCAGAAGACTTTGCTGCACTGAAGGCTCGAACAGGTTCATCATCACTGGTATAAGAACTATTCTCCTCCCCATTTTATAGTTAAGAAAACTGAAGCACAGGGTGCAGTGACTTGAGCAAGGTCCCACAGCAAAAGATTCAAGCCCTGGGCTGTCCAAATGCAGGGAGGAGGTTGCTAGAGCCTGGCATAGTGGTTGGAATAGCACCATCCTGGGGTTAAAAGCCTGGGCGCTGGGGAAATGGGAGATTGTGGCAGTGCCCATTTCTTCAGGTGCTTGTGAAGTGACTGGCACGAACTCCTGGAAAACAGTCACGCATCCAGCACACGTGAGCAGCATGTGTCTAGGAGCTCTGGAGTAGTGTCAGTTGGATCTAATTTGTTTTTCTAAATAGAAGTTTTTAATACTATAAAAATGTAAATAAGACTGTAGAATGGGTTGGTGCAAGCAAGAGAGCTTATAATAAGGATGTGTTTGAAATGCCAAAACGTAAGTTTAAGTTTTATCATCGGCGAAGGTTGTTTGTGTTTGCCTGAGGAATGTTCTCATTTGTGTTCCTTGTGTCTGCCTACTGATGCTGAAGATACTTTGTTCCCCATACCGGGCTGCTTTTAAAATGCACTGCTTGTCTGCATCATGTTCCAGGTAATTTGGTGAGTGGTGGAGTGGACAAAAGGCAGATTGCCAGCTTCCAGGAGTCAGTGGGTGAGACCAGCTCCCAGAGTGTGGTTGTCGCTGTGGACAGGTAAGGCTTTTCCTTCTCTGATGAGGCTGGGTGACCCTGTGGTTTGGTGTCCTCCATGGAGATACTGTGGCTCTTTGGGCTTATCTTAGTTGAAGTTTGTTTAGCTTCTTAGATGTGTAAATTGTTTTTCATCAAATATGGTGCCTTTTCTGCCATTATTTCTTTGATGTCCTACAGATCTCTGAGACTGGCTCTCCCTACCCAGTACTAGGGGTCATATGCAAGGTGCTTTGCTACACAGTTACATCCCTAGCTCTTTTTTATTTGTTGAGACCAGATCTCACTAAGTTACCTGGGCTGGGCTGGGCTAAAAACTTGTAGTCCTCTTGGGGTTAGCCTCTTAAATAGCTGGGATTACAGGTATATGCCACCATGCCGAGCAACTCATTTGTTTATTTAGTTTTTATTTATATTCATCATATTAGGCAACTTCATTTGACTTCTCTTTACTGTCTAGCTTTCTTTTGCCAGCTCAAAACAACAATTTAGCCCTTACGGTGAGTTTTTTATTTTGGCTTTATAATTTTCAGCTTCAGAATTTCTATCATTTCTGTTTATTAATGTTCTCTATTTAGTGAGATATTTTGGTTGCTAGGCTTCCTATGGAGATGAGGAGAGAGTAATGGAAATAGACCAAGTTGAAACTTTTCTTAGAGGGTTAGACGTAATTTCCTTTAGTTCTTTGAAAATATTGAAAATAATTAACTTAGCCTGGAGTGGTTGCATATGCCTGTAATCCCAGCACTCAGGAAGCTGAAGCAGGAGGATCCCTGAGAGTTCAAGGCCAGCCAGAACTACATAATGAAACCATGTCTCAAAAAGACAAAACAAAAGGAAAGGAAAGGAAAAGGGAGGGAAAGGGAAGGAAGGGGAGAGGAGGAGAGGGCAGAAAACAGTACTTAAAACACTTTGTCTAGAACATCCAACTTCTGGGCCTCCTCAGGGACAGTCTCTTTCAACTGGTTCTTTTCCTATAAATAAACCATGTTCTCTTATTTCGTAGATGATAGAATTATTATAAATTAGATAGTGGTGATGGTTGCACAGCTCTGAATATACTAAGAGTAAATTGTATGTTTTAAATTATAAATTATACATGGTGATTATAAATTGTACCTTTTTAATTTTGGTTGAAAACCAGACATTTAAATTAATATAGCAGCTTTGTCTGTCAGATTTCCTACACCGAGCCCTGTAGTTGGGTTTATTGTTGTCATCCCTGCTACTTGTTTGTTTGGTGACTCTCCTAAACTAATTGTGTATATGCATATTCTTTCTCACCTGTAGCCACTAAAATCTCTGCTAGGTAGCTTTAGAGGTCAGAGATTTCCTTGGATGTTTTGGATCTTTGTCAAGTCTCCAACATTTCTGTGCAACTCTGTGGGCACACCTCAAAACTCAGCCAGCACTTTGCAGCTCTCCCTTTGCCTTTGCTTGTTTATGTGAGCCTCAAAGTCAGCCAGAGGCGGAACTATCCTTCTCATACCTTTCCTGGTTTATGCACAAAGCCCTACACATGTGCTGGCAGTCAAGGGTCCCAGTGATATGTTAGAGCTTTTCAAAGCCTCCCGTGGACAGCTCATCCCAGCTTTTCCTTTAAGTTTTTGGCACAGTGCTTATTTTGCTGCCTTCTGTGGCTGTAGTGTTGAACAATTACTATTGATTGTTTTTGATAAGAGCTCCCTAGGAACACTGGTTTCCTAAAGTAAGATCAGAATTAGGTCAGATGTCAGCTCCTTGAGAGTAGTGTTTTCAGAGAACATTGTGGCTATTCTGCTCTCTAGTGGTCGTTTGGCTGCTGGCTTCAAAGTTACCATTATTTTGGTGCTTCCAAATAATCAAGGTGTCTTTGATTCTACATGGAAAATGACTTAATTGGCTCCTAAAAACCAGAATCAAGCTTCTGTTTTTTATTTTATGAAAAATAAACCAAAATTTTATAACAAAATAGTAAGAGAGCCAGGCATAGTGGCGCATGCCTGTAATCCCAGCACTCGGGAGGCTGAGGCAGGAGGATCGTTGCAAGTACGAGACCAGCCTGGGCTACAAAGTGAGCTCAAGGCCAGCCTGAATTTCATAGCGAGACCCTGTCTCAAAAAGACAAAAAAAAAAAAGTAGACAAAATAATAAGAGAATAATAATAGCTAATATTCTGTATATCATTATCTTCAAAGTAGTTACTCAGAGGGCTGGGGATTTAGCTCAGCGGCAAAAGCGCCTGCCTGGCAAGCGCAAGGTCGTGAGTTCGGTTCCCGGTACCGGAGAAAAACCAAAAAAAATAAATAAATAAATAAAATTCAGTGCTTCAGGGGCCAGCTGGAGAATTTGGGCTGACAATAGATGTCCAAGAAAAAGAAAGAGGAAATCTGATCCACAAGGTCTGTTTG